AAGGCTGCAGTAAGGTCTCCCTGGAGCCTTCTCTTCTCCAGGCTGAACAAGCCCAACTCTCTCAGCCTGTCCCCATAGCAGAAGTGCTTCAGCCCTCTGGGCATCTTTGTGGCCTCCCCTGGACTCGCTCCAACCGGTCAGTATCTTGCCTATCCAAGGCTGGAAAAGACCTCTAAGATCATCTAGTCCAACCATTAACCCAGCACAGGGTAACTGTAGAAGTCAGGTATGCAGAAGGTGTATTTGGGAAAGTGTAAAGTTTTTGGGGTTAATTTTCTGAATATTGGTGTCTTTCCTTCAGAACTTACTTCTCAAGTAGTTAATTACTGTCACAGGACTGATTTCTCCCTTAAAATGGGTAGTTTGGAAATAGCCGCAGTTTGGCAGCACATTACTGGTAGTGTTTATGTGTTCTTTTCTGTGAAGCTCAAGTGGTCCTCCAATAACATTGGAAGAGCTGGAACAGATTCAGAAATATAATTGCAGTAATTTTGTGTTTAGCAGCAAACTCTTTAACATCCATACACTCCAAAGTTTTCATTCAAGATCTAAAGTTAAAGCTAGACTCATTGAAGTAGTTGAATGTAGCTAAAGCGTGGATGAAATCACTCTGTTCTTGGTCTGGAGGCTCTTATTTAAGCACATAGGCATGAATGGTTTCACTAGCCTCTTTCACCTGGAAACCATGAAGGATTTCTTTTTCACAAGGTTTAATATGTAAAGAAAAAAAGAGTAATGGTTCAGGAATTTACTGTTTGTGAATATTCTTAACAGTTTCATTAACTGTCATTTCTTTGTCTCAGGAAAAAGAGTAGGAACATGGAGTCTTCCAGTGTGGTTTAAGTTTAAGGCCATACTTCAGGAAGAAAGCCCTTGGAATTTTATGAGTCCTCTTTGTAATCAGCTCATGATACCCTGCTGCACCTTGCCATCTCACACTGCAGATCCATCTTTGACATTATGGACTGGCTACTACACCCCTATATACATTTGGAGAGCAAGGGAGAAGGGTGACTTTAAAATGAACAAAATCAGTCTGATTTCTGTGACTGCTCTTCTAATTGAGCAAATTTGGAATAGTGTGAATGGTTTGAGTACTCGAAATAGCAGAACCAACCCAGGGAGTTCACTTTGTGCTGCTGTATGTGACTAATGGGTCAGCTTGCAGGAGAAGGTAGGCAGCGTGCTTGGTCTGGCTGGGCAGTCAGGTGACTCCACAATGAAGTGAAAATACTCATCTGCGGTATTTTAATGTACAGTATGAAGATTATAAAATAAATGGTGAACAGAAGACAGATTTACCCACCTCTGGATGCAGAATGCTGCTTCTGATAGGTCTGAGGTTTGTGGGAGATCTCCATCTTCTGTTTTCTTTTCTTGCAGTTCATATACGTAAACCAGTCTTTTGCTCCATCTCCAGACCAAGAAGTTGGAACCCTCTATGAGGTGACTAAGTATCCTTTCCAAATGTACTCAGCAGAACTTGTTAGCACACTTCTGGCACTCGAGATCTGTTACTGCCCCTAGCTATGCTGGTAATATTTTACATTTAATGTAAGGCAGTTGATGTTCACAGATCTGTGTGATTTAGAGACGTGAGTTCATACAGTCTCAGGAAATGCCTTCCTTCGCATGCAGGATGTTGTCATGGCTCCCGTTATGGTGGAGAGCTTTGTTGTCAGTATTCCATTACCCAGTTATCTGGGGGGGGTGGATGGGCTGTGTTTTACTTCAGTTGTATTCAGTTTGTCCGTGAATAACCTAACGGCTCCTGTGTTTTGTTTTTCTTGCAGTGTTTTGGAAGTGATGGCAAGCTTGTACTGCACTATTGCAAAACTCAGGCATGGGGATGAATGACAAGCAATATGATTGTTAGGCATTGTCTTCAAGAACGGGAAAGGGACTGACTTACTTAACCTGCAAACAGACAGAAAGAAGCATTTTTACATTTCTGCTTGTGACTACATGTATAAAAATGGAGGTGAATAGCATAAGAGAAGAGCTACCTGGGCTATCTGATCATGTAGCTTTTTTCTGATGTGTATCTGGGGTGCTGGAAAAAAAACCTGCATCTCCCATCTGTAGAGTAGAGCCAGCTTTCTTGCTGCTGAATTCTCAACTGCTGTGTCTGAAGGGAAACTATTCCACAGTTGTGTGGAGGACTGGGCAGCTTCCTTGCTCTGTGTGCTGTACTGAAGATACAGGTTCCTTTTTTATTAAAAGGGATATTTATTGGACACATAGCCCGGGATTCAGTTTACTTCTGGTATGTTGTACCTCTCTTACGTGTGTTCTATTCTTTGTGAGGGCTTTATCTTGAACATGCATTATTTCATGCCATTTCAAGACAGTATTTTGATTTTTTTTTTCCCCTCATAATTAATGTGTAGGTATTGGTATATAACCTAACTACTTCACCAGGTGCCTTCATGGTGTTGGTGGTGTAAGTATCTCCTTTATATGGCACTGCATAATGACAGGCCTCAAATACTTTCCTTCTGCCCAAATTGTGATTTGTAGAAGGCTGAACGCTTCAGTTGCCAGGGCAACTTCTGGCACTGCTTAATGGCTGCCATCATTGGTTGGAGGATGGAACAACTAGTTTCAGTTAATGAAGAAACAGACATGAGGGGCTAAAAACCTACTCTATATATTCTCCTTTTGGCTGCTGTCATATTCCTGTTCACCAGCTGCATGTTGCATCCACCAAATAGAATGCACTTTATATCCTTTTGCCAAATCATTAACATAAGGAGGACTTCTTTTTGTTTTCCATCCTGCATAGGACTTGGTACCTTGACTAGGGTACTGCCCTTGGCTTTTATTTATTGGAGGGGTTGGGTGGTGGTGGGGGCGGGCTGTGGATTTATTTTAAATGTCAGTTGTACAACCTTTTGTGTTTGTTTAAGCTGTACTAAATTAAATGTTAGCTGTTCGCTTGCAGAGTGGTCTTACGCTGGATGGCAGTCTTGATCCCTGACATAACGCACTTCTTCAGCACATCCAGGCAAAACAGCCTGTTCTAGTTCAAAACACGCTTGTACCGTAGTCTTGAGCCACTAGTTGATGTTCCATGTGTAAGTGGCTCTTACGTGGTCTCTGCAACCGTCTCTCGGTCACCGTGCGGCCAGCACGGCCTCGCGCAGCCACCAGAGGGTACACGAGGACAGAGGTGTTTGCATAGCTTTTCCTAGATTTTATGGGTTTTTTTCCAATCTTTTTCGTAATATGTCCACTGGCTGGCCTTACAAATATAAGTAGTTTGTTCTACTGTGTGGCAGTATGTTTGCCCAAGATAAGCTACTAGTCTGGCCCTCTTGAAAGAATGTTCCATCGGTGCCTTTCACCTCATTTGATCTTAACAAATGAAACTACTGATACACTGTACATGTGCTCATCGGAAGGGATGCAAGAAGGTTGGTGGCTGTGGGTGTGGTTTGGGGTTTTTTTGTGTGTTTTGGTGTTGTTTATTTTTGTTTTGGTTTTTTTTTTTAAGAGCAAATAAAAACCCACTAGAACCTCAAGGTGGAGGAGGACTGTAGGTCATTGTATCTCACCAGCTGACAGTAGGAGGTTGTCCCTCATGTTGAATCTGTAGATAAATTTTATCCTCTGGAGTTAGAATAAAAAAAAGACATTGTTTGCCTTGATCCCTTCAAAGGTAACAGTAATGGTTTGGATTTCTTTGATTCACCACATGGATTTCTGAACTGGGATAACTTAATCATGCAGATTTGAATTATTTACTTAAGATTCAGCTTGTTACATGAACAGTATTTATTTATTACTGTTTGCTCCAGCATTCTTCTGCTTTCCATTTTTCTCCAACCCCAACTAATTACTTCTTGGCCCCTAGTTTACCAGTATACAGTGACTACTCACCTGATCCAGCTCTTGCTTTCTGTTTCCTGAGTGCTCTTTTAAGTGGCTGCTTTTGTTCTGTTCCTCTCCTTTTAACGACTGCCAGTTCCAATTCTGCTAATTTCCCCCTGCAGTTTCTGTACCTTCTTTATGGAGAGACTTCTTTTTGCCACTATTCCCTGTAGTTTTCCACCTTCTCTTGTCACGGAGGTAGTCGGTGCTTGTTTGTCTCTGGTAACCCCTTAAGGACCATGGGGGGGGCTCTGTCTGGAGTCAGGGTGTGACTGTTTTAAGTGGCAGAAACTTTTCCTAGTGTATATGCTTAAAGAACAGGCTAGACTGCAAACATGTCAGGTAGATAACATGTCAGGTGAACAAACAAACGATTAGCACGCTACTTGCAGAATTTGCAAAAGACAAGGCTTGCAAAAGACATGTTAAATCTCGTATTTTAAAAAGTGACAGAGCATCTAAAATCGTAGATGATCCTGAAATGTTTCAAAATGGATGTACTTAATCACTTTAAAAATAATAATTCCAGTAAATTTGAAACATCAAAAGCTTAAGTAGAACATGGAGTATCTTCTCTGCGTTGAGAATGCCTTGAGCAAAAGTGTTGGCTGTATAGTGTAAGTGACTTCAGTTGCTGCAGTGGGAAGAAAAAGGATACGAAAGTAAGGGTTGACCTTTTGGGCAAGTCTGTGAGAGTGGTACGAGACAAAACAGCGGTGTAGGCTTAGAGTATTGTGTTCTACACAAACATGCTACAGTGCTGAGCTACCAGTATTTGTAATATAATTGGATTCACTTGATTTTAAGTAATTGAATTAACAGAACAGACAAACTGATAAAATTCAGTAAATAAATAATTTTAAAGACTGAGAAATGAAGATAAGCATTGGAAAATAAAATTATTATACTGCTTTTATGAAAGGCTTAATATTTCACAACATCCCAATCCTAAAAAATAGTCCTGTGCACAATTCAGTTATCCTGCTTTCAGGGTAACAATTTCTGAGTTCAAACCCTATAAACTGGGAAGCATTGTTTATCTGAATTATTACTCAGGTAATGGTTTAGATACTAGCATTAATTATAAATTTCTAATCCGTAGCTTGAACTAGTCTTAAGAGCACATGGAAAACCTGAAGGAGCTAAGTGAAATTAAAGATACCTGAAGAGTGAAATGGTAAAATACGTAGTCATTTTGCCTGTGTTATCTTTTAAATCTCAAAAAATTACTGCTCAGGTATTAACAGAAGATGAGTCTGTGCTCTTTATCCCCACCACGTAATCTTGAGTGCACCGATCTAGAGAAGAATCAAGAAGGGATGTGGTGTGGACATTTACACATCCATTCTGCACACCCCTTCTCGACTCTGAGGCAGCTTCTGTTTATCCATTGCTGCTGTTCACGCTCATTTTGCAGATCAAGTTCTGCTTCTAGTTGCACAAGCTTTCGGCTTACCCAGTTTTTGACTATCCTGAAGTTTTAATTACTCTTCAGGGATGTCGTGCAAAGGTTACTCACGGCATTATTGTACTACAACACCTTCATACTTGGAGGTGAGACAAAACGGGGGAAGAATGCCTTTAACTCTGGGTTTTTCATGATCATTATGACTGTTAGGAGCTTGTATAAAATGCCTCAAAAACCAAAAAGTGTTTTCAGCCTTGTTTCGTACTGGGTCGTCAAGAGAACAAAAGCATTTGACAAGTAAGCATGTTAACTGTGGTGGTTCTTATTTGCGGAGCCCACGCTTCAGCTTTGCTAGCGTCATCCTTCATGTGCTCCTGAGCTCCTGTATCCCTGCTCTGCGCTTCCTTCGACAGCCATCGTGCCGTGCCGGCTGCGCCTCGCTGTCTGAGTCGGCTTGATGCCAAAATTATCTGGAGACACAAAAACCAATTTAGAAAACAGGTGGTTAAGGAAGGTTGAATGAATCACGTTATTAACTAAAGGGAGACTGAAAGAAGTACATTAAAAGCTTAACATTAAGCCAGTCACACTACCTCTGTGTCACTAGACTGGGGTAGTGCCAGGAAACTCCCTGGGGCACTGTAGCTCAGTCATCTGTACAGTTGGTTGGTAGAACGGCGGCTGGCACAGGTCTTGGCCTGTGCACAACTCGGGAGTTGGCAGGGCACTGTTTCTTGTGGGCACTTTGGACGTGACCAGCCTGTTCTGGAGGTTGAAAGGTAAATAATGTGGATGCAAACTGTTCTTGGCAAGTTGGCCTCTGTGCCAGAGGGCAGGCCTTGGGATATTTGTTAGCGGATACACAATCCCAATTTCAGGTGAGATTTGACCCCTTGTGTGCACACTGGGAAGAATTAAACTTTGGGGAGAAAAAAAAACCAGTGTCCCTCGTCAAATTTCAGGCGCAATCTCAGAACCTTTTTTAAGGGGCTGTCCAGCTTTCCCTCTGTGTAACTGTCGCGTGCATACTTGCTCTAAATGCCTACCAATACCTAGATTCTGTGATGGTTTCTAAGGATGCAGTTTACAGGTGATGCTGAAGTACTTACACATCTCAATTCGCTCATACCTTTCCTTAGGAGAAGTAGATGATGAACTTTAATTAGTAGGATTTAGGAAAAAAAAAAAAAGTACAGGAGTCTTGGTGTCCTTGCTGTGTATCGTTTCATGGAAAAATTCCACATGAAAATCACTTTTATATATATAAATTACATCAATTGGACTGAATATAGCGTTAAAATATAATTGCGTGGAGGGTTTAAGCGTTAAAAAGGTTCCAGTTGCGAAAATCAGTATTAAAACATCCAGAAATGTCCTTCCCTCAAACCCAGTTTAGTAACAGAACTAATAACCCTAGCGACTCTTGGGAGCTGAAGCGCATTAAGAGCTCCTCAGCTCTGAAACAGGAAACCTCAGAGAAGAGAAGGGCTCCAAACAGAAAGCTGCACAGTAAATATTGTCAGTGCCGAGAAGACTAGCCAGCACTTCAGCTTTTTCATACAAATACCACAA